TAGATGACTTTCCATTAAGCCTTATGTTTAAACTGCCTGTTTGACATGGCCTGTTGGCTCAGTGAAGAGGACTGAAGGTAGCCCAGCCAGTGTAGACCATGGCTGATGGAGCAGGTCATTAGGTGATACGAGGTAAGCGGAAAGGGGGGTATCTGTGGAATGAGGGGACAGTTAGATTCATTTTATGAAAAGACTAAAAGAACGTACATTTTCATTGCCCCCTATTTCTCTTACTGAACATGAACATACCTCTTGGCATACAAAAATAATGTAAATAAAAATGCCAGGGCAATATAACACTTTATATTTTTTTTTGAACACCACAATGGGGTGAATAGGCATACAGTCCCAACCAATGGTGACACTGAACAAAGCCATGATGATGGTGAAGCCAAAAAAGCCAGCAATGATAGGAATAAATGTATCTAAAGGAAGCAGATGTCGAGGGATGGCTCATAGGATTTATCAGAAATGCCTGTGGAAGTTCATGACTTTTTATAAACTTGGGTAATTCGATTTCAGAATATGAGTAAGAATGCAGAGGAAAGATGGTGATCTTCAATAAAACTACACGATAAATCAATTAGCATATCCAGACGTAAAGACTGCTAAAGTCATATGTGAATCTCAGCTTTTCTTCTAAAGGCCAAGCTTGCCTCCAGGACCTCCCTATTGGCCTTCTCTGTGGCTTGTGAATGCAAATTTTATAAAGCCTTCAACATGACCTGGGAGCCCTCAGAACTAGTACATAAATGTCAAGCTTTCAGAAGGTCATATACCGCCACACAACATCCCATTATGTACTGCACAGGCTCCATACAAGTTCACAGGCATTACCAAGTTGTGTTGGAGGCTCCTGGAAGTTTGTGGTCACCACATGCAGGGACCAGGGTGCTTGCTATCACACCACAAGGCTAACACATTTCCAGTCTTTTTCATGATCATGGCTTTTAGGTGACACTGAGTAGCTAGCAGGCCTTCAACAAGCTTCAAGTAGAGTAGACGCCTGCTAGTAGCTTCTTTAATGACAGTCAGCCCTCCTTTTAAGAACTTAAAGAACTCTAGATCATATAGGGATGGCTGTGGAGTTGAGCTACCCCTCGGTCCTGCGTGGCTGCTAGACTGGTCCCCGCAGGCTCTTCTTCCCCAGCCTTCGGCATTCTAAGGACCTGTGACATCCTCGCGACTAATGCAATACATCCATTCACCTGCGTTATATGTGAGGATGCCAATGGACATTCCATATCCAGATTGGAGGGGGAGAGAGGTGAGTGCTGACAGCTCCAGGATCCACAATCAGGTGACCATATCATCTGTATTCTGGCCCCTGGAGAAAAATGAGCAGTTAACACTTGCAATGTGAGTGTAGCCCCACTGCAAGGGTTAACTCTGGTAATTCCTAGAGTTGCTCTTTTACCTCTCCCAGCGTGAAGTTGAATGGTGCTTGAACAGTGTGACCAGGCAGTTGGAAACGCAAACAGAATTTAGGGGAGCATCACTAGAAGAATCACCCTCAGGAGTAAGGATGTCCTGATTCCATTATATAGAGCTTTAGTCAGACCTCATTTACAATACTGTTTCCAGTTCTTGCCACATACAAAAAGATATTAATAAGACTACAGCTGGCCATACACCTATAGATTAATTGCAGATTCTCTATGGTCTCTGACCACCAATGTAAGGGGCAATCTTCTCACTGACCACCAATGTAAGGGGCTTTCTTCTCACTGACCACCAATGTAAGGGGCATTCTTCTCAAAGACCGCCAACGTACAGTAAGGAGCATTCTTCTTACTGACCACCAATGTAAGGGGCATTCTTCCCATTGTCCACCAATGTTGGGAGCATTCTCCACACTGACCACCAATGTTGGGGGCATTCTCCACACTGACCACCAATGTTGGGGGCATTCTCCACACTGACCACCAATGTTGGGGGCATTCTCCACACTGACCACCAATGTAGTGAGCATTCTTCCCATTTTACCCCAATGTAGTGAGCATTCTTCCCACTCACTACTAATGTAAGGATTATTTTTACCATTGACCACGAATATGAGGGGCTTTCTTCCTGCTGACCACCAATGTAAAAAGCATCCTTTCCACTGACCACCAATGTAAGGGGCATTCTTCTCACTAGCCACCAATGTAAGGGGCATTCTTCTCACTAGCCACCAATGTAAGGGGCATTCTTCTCACTAGCCACCAATGTAAGGGGCATTCTTCTCACTAGCCACCAATGTAAGGGGCATTCTTCTCACTAGCCACCAATGTAAGGGGCATTCTTCTCACTAGCCACCAATGTAAGGGGCATTCTTCTCACTAGCCACCAATGTAAGGGGCATTCTTCTCACTAGCCACCAATGTAAGGGGCATTCTTCTCACTAGCCACCAATGTAAGGGGCATTCTTCTCACTAGCCACCAATGTAAGGGGCATTCTTCTCACTAGCCACCAATGTAAGGGGCATTCTTCTCACTAGCCACCAATGTAAGGGGCATTCTTCTCACTAGCCACCAATGTAAGGGGCATTCTTCTCACTAGCCACCAATGTAAGGGGCATTCTTCTCACTAGCCACCAATGTAAGGGGCATTCTTCTCACTAGCCACCAATGTAAGGGGCATTCTTCTCACTAGCCACCAATGTAAGGGGCATTCTTCTCACTAGCCACCAATGTAAGGGGCATTCTTCTCACTAGCCACCAATGTAAGGGGCATTCTTCTCACTAGCCACCAATGTAAGGGGCATTCTTCTCACTAGCCACCAATGTAAGGGGCATTCTTCTCACTAGCCACCAATGTAAGGGGCATTCTTCTCACTAGCCACCAATGTAAGGGGCATTCTTCTCACTAGCCACCAATGTAAGGGGCATTCTTCTCACTAGCCACCAATGTAAGGGGCATTCTTCTCACTAGCCACCAATGTAAGGGGCATTCTTCTCACTAGCCACCAATGTAAGGGGCATTCTTCTCACTAGCCACCAATGTAAGGGGCATTCTTCTCACTAGCCACCAATGTAAGGGGCATTCTTCTCACTAGCCACCAATGTAAGGGGCATTCTTCTCACTAGCCACCAATGTAAGGGGCATTCTTCTCACTAGCCACCAATGTAAGGGGCATTCTTCTCACTAGCCACCAATGTAAGGGGCATTCTTCTCACTAGCCACCAATGTAAGGGGCATTCTTCTCACTAGCCACCAATGTAAGGGGCATTCTTCTCACTAGCCACCAATGTAAGGGGCATTCTTCTCACTAGCCACCAATGTAAGGGGCATTCTTCTCACTAGCCACCAATGTAAGGGGCATTCTTCTCACTAGCCACCAATGTAAGGGGCATTCTTCTCACTAGCCACCAATGTAAGGGGCATTCTTCTCACTAGCCACCAATGTAAGGGGCATTCTTCTCACTAGCCACCAATGTAAGGGGCATTCTTCTCACTAGCCACCAATGTAAGGGGCATTCTTCTCACTAGCCACCAATGTAAGGGGCTTTCTTCTCACTGACCACCAATGTATGGGGCATTCTTCCCACTGTCCACCAATGTAAGGGGCATTCTTGTTGATGACCATCACACTACCCATGTCACATAAGCTATAGATATAATAATTATTAGCAGGGGTTCCCTGAGACTTGAGACGTCTTTGAAGGGTTCTTCCACCTTAAAAAAAAGTTGAAGAAGTCTGCTCTAAGGCATCGCTCGCTCTTTGGCTAGCTGGGCCAGCGCAATGTCGCTCTCTTGCTGCTCTCCTAGCGAGGGAGTATGGGTAGTATTTGAATTCAACAAAGGAGCAATTCCACGGTAGAAAGCTATCTGATGGGACTCTACCGCTGGTGACACATCAGTAGTGTGATATCAACCTCAGTGATCTTTTCTCCGGGATCCAGAGGTGCTCCGCAGAGCCGCCCACAGAGATCGATTGTTGTAAGACGGGTATACGCCGGTACTTGCGTAGACCTGCACATGTGTAAAGACATATATCCCAGGACGCAGACTGTCTTTGTCCGGAGTTCTACATCTGATAGCATTGTTATGTTAATACCAGCGTATCCCTCCACTTACACCCATTGATTGGATCTATGGGCAGGGAAATACTCCTGAATTTTACTTTGTACAGCCCCTGGTGCTCATGAGCCCTTACTGAGCACAATGCAAGTGCAACTGTGTGCATGGGCCCATAATATACAATACTGCTATGTACAGATCCATAAAAAACTATATGCCATATGGATATGAATGCAATGTTCCATGAACCTAGGCTGCTCATACACCATACAATCTGATTGTACAATCTCTTTTGGATCTGTCGTTTATGATGTGCAGGAAGTTAGGAACCTGCCTGATTGGATTGCCTATGTTTGTCCTTATATAGATTTGGTAAATCTAAAGGAGATCAGAGATTGTACAATCAAATTGTATAGTATATGACCGATCTATAGGTGACAGCTCCACTTTTGATAGATCATCCTGGAACGATCAGGTTCTATTTTCTCTTCCCTTCTAGTCCTCATACGTGTTTGAAACAGTGTATCTCTCCCAGCAGTGTGATCACCCTCAGCAGCCCCATGGCTCCTCATGACCCCGCCACCCAAGCATGTTTCCCATTTCCTCCTCAATGTGGAATGTAAATCCAGAAAACTCTCATCCTAACTTCGGCATTACGTCATCATCCTAAAATTTCACATCAGGGGCAGGTACCTCTTAGCCAATCAGTTCACGCCGTTATTGCAAGGGGCGGCAATATGCCCTCGCTGTACCGCCTCTCATCCAATCAAAAAAAGACCAGATGTGATGACTGACGTTCTGTGGACATCGTGCAGCTGACCAATAAACGACAAGGCAATGAAGGGCGGTGCGTTCTTCCAGGGGTTCGCTGGTGATTGGTGAAGAGAACTGACGGGGTTCGCTGGTGATTGGTGGAGAGTTCTGACGGACAGTGAGGGGAGCAAATCTTCTGACAGCCCGCGTTGGCTGGGGCTTTCCCTTGTAGTGAGCATTCGATCTCGGCTTGTTCGGTGTACGGACGTTTGTAGAGGAGCTCGGCACAGATATGACTTCCACACACAACTACCAGAGCCTGGAGGCCGACAGCAAACCCAGCTCCAGGTCAGACATGGGTCGGGGGGGGACTAACTAGGCCCAGCGTGGCGGGGAGGCTGGGTGGACCACTGTCTATAGACAATTTTGGGTGTAATACGCAGCTATGAGTATTCTGTCTGCAGTAGTCTGAGGCTGCCAGAGCCTGCTGGGACTTGAGGTTCACCAGTACTTGGGTGCCAGGCTGGACATGGCTGACCTCCTAGTGGCTACCTCTGTCTCTGGGGGATCCTAAAGGTGGATTGCAAGCTCTTGGGTCCAGGGTTGGATCTGTGTGATGCGTCATTGTTCCCCTCGGGTATCTCTACTAATTAAAATTCATTTAAAGCCCAACTTAGGCACAATAAAAATGTTCCTGAGCGGTGAAAGGTTCTAACCTTGGGGAGATGTATGCTTATTGGGTCTTTCAGTGACAATAGATAAGGAAATGATAGGAATGGGGTTCTGCGACAGGAAGGTGCGCACATAGCAGTAAAAGCCGGACTGAGCTTCTAACCTTTCCTCATTATACCAAATATGTGTTGTTGTTTTCAACTACTTCCTGTCAATGGTGACTCAGTGGTTACCCCCACCTTGCAGCACCAGCGTCATCGGATCAAATCCCAGCCAGGACACCATCTACATGGAGTTGGCATGTTCTCCCTGTGCTTCCGTGTGTCTCCTCCAGGTGCTCCGGTTTCCTCCCACACTCCAAAGACATGCCGATAGATTGGCTCCTGTCTAAATTTGGCTTTGTATGTGAGATAGGGACCTTTAGATTGTAAGCTCCTTTGGGTCAGAGACTGATGTGAATGTGCACTGTGTAAGGCGCTGTGTAAATTAATGCCGCTATTTAAATGCCCATCATAATAAAACAGGAAGTTAGAGGAAATCTTCCCAATGAGGACCCAGAGCACAATAGAAACCTGAGTGAGGTCTCTGTCTAGAGTCGGATTTAAAGTGCCAGTCGCACATGTGCTGCTGGATTCTAACATACTAGGTAGGAAATCATGAGGGGGATTTATCAGAATCTGGAGCAGTTGCCCATGGCAACCAATCAGCTTCAGTCTTTCATTTTCAAAGTGTAACTGCACAAACTGAAGAGAGAAGCTGATTGGTGGCGATGGGCAACTGCTCCTAATTTGAAATACAAAATATTAAATATCTGTATAGATATATCTATATAGATATATCTCAAATTTTATTAAAGGTTTTCGGACCCCTTACCTAACAAAGGGTGTGACTACTATAATGCAAACAATGTTATTTAATTGGTAATAATAAAAATCACGGACATGTCTTGTAAATAAACCCTGTCAGGACCCGGTGAGTGACCCTCTGGGTTTTCCAGGGACAGTCCTCCCTCTATGGATGTGAGCTGTGTTAGCGGCAGGCTGGTCCTGTACTCATCTGCAGCTCCTCCGCTTGTGCTAAACTACACCTCGGCATATGTTGCCCTCAGTCTGCAGATCTAAGCAGGAGTTGACATGTAATAATCAGCACGGCTACCTTTCAGTCAGTATTATAGATACTGTGACTCCTTTTATTCTGATCCCTATGGGGGAAGCACGGATTTGCAGAAGGGTGTGTTCCTCTCCAGTCATTTCCCTGCTATTGTCCCCTATATAGGAGGTGCAGCCGAGTCCGCCAGGCTTTGTTCTGCTTTAGGTGTGCGATGAGGATCTGGATCTCCTGGTCTTTAATCACAGAGCCAATCACGTTATGGGAACGGTCCTTGCGTGCGGCCTTGCCATTTGTGCAGCAGGGATCCAAGATCATTGTGTGCCGCGCTTCATTTCTTGTGCTTCATTAATTCTTTTATCAGCACTGCAAGACCACGCCTAAGCCGTGCATCCTTTCTGATGGAAGGGCGACACTACACGGCTAATTAGGATGCCATGATGCTGTGTGCTTTAACCCCTTGCAGGCAGATACTTGAATACTTAAACGCCTTTGCAAGGCTTTTAAATCAATGTGCTGTAGCCATAGCGATTCCCAACAAGTGGTAAATCGTTCGGTTGCATCAGATGTTGCTTTAATGCTGCGCCGCAAGAAAATTGAAGCATGCCGTTACTAGTGAAACTGGATAGAGTAGCGATAAGATCACACCGTATAAGCGTAAAATTATCCATTGTTGTCTCAAAAATGTGTCTAAAATCTTCCCCCCCCCTCCCCTCCCCCCCTTCTCCCCCTCCTCCTCAGCCTCCGATCTTCATGTTTGCAGAATCTGAGAGGTCTGAACATGTGCTGCGTTCTACAAATGAATTTTGCTCCTGGCCAGCAATCAGCTGAGTTGTCAGGACCACGGCCTGCAGACATACAAAGCCGATCCTTTTTATTAGATTGATGTGACAGTGATTAGCATTGTGTTCAGGCTGGGAAGGATCAGCTTGGTGGTTATTTAGAGGTTTCACACTGGTGCTGCTGGATGGACATGTGGGCTGACATGAGGGTTGCAATTTGCTGCAATGTGTTTATGCTCTGCCATAGTAATCAGCCTATTTATAGTCACCAGAGACTTCATATTTCTAACTGTAATTCTGTCTCCAAGTTGACAAACATTCTAGCACTTCCGAGTGCCAATTGAATATTTTGTAGCCTTCATCTTGGAGGAAACAGTCAGGGAAAGGATTGTATCCTTTTATATAGCAGTTTGTAGCTAGTCACCCTCATCCAGACTTGTTCTGCAACATTGTAGATGTCCCCTTCATCCGCGCTTGTTCTGTAATGGTCGTAGATGTCCCCTTCATCCAGACTTGTTCTGTAATGTCGTAGATGTCCCCTTCATCCGCGCTTGTTCTGTAATGTCGTAGATGTCCCCTTCATCCGCGCTTGGTCTGTAATGTCGTAGATGTCCCCTTCATCCACGCTTGTTCTGTAATGTCGTAGATGTCCCCTTCATCCGCGCTTGGTCTGTAATGTCGTAGATGTCCCCTTCATCCGGGCTTGTTCTGTAATGTCGTAGATGTCCCCTTCATCCGCGCTTGGTCTGTAATGTCGTAGATGTCCCCTTCATCCACGCTTGTTCTGTAATGTCGTAGATGTCCCCTTCATCCGCGCTTGGTCTGTAATGTCTTAGATGTCCCCTTCATCCAGACTTGTTCTGTAATGTCGTAGATGTCCCCTTCATCCAAGCTTGGTCTGTAATGGTCGTAGATGTGCCCTTCATCCAGACTTGTTCTGTAATGTCGTAGATGTCCCCTTCATCCAGACTTGTTCTGTAATGGTCGTAGATGTCCCCTTCAGCGCTGTGAGGCCAATGTATCCTTAGTGGACAAAAGGTGTGCTATGGAGTAGTGGATAAAAAGTTCCTTTATGCGTCATTCTGTCTGTGTTGACCTGCATTTTGCCAGTTTATTTATTTTGAAATCTTATTTATTTCTGTGTGAACCAATCGGGAAGCTGACCATATCATTTGGTGGCAATGTTCTTTTCTTTCAAGATCTGTTAGCTGGAATTGTCTTCTACAGCTTGGAGTCCCCCATGAGTTGTCACTCAATACCACCAAAATGAGTAGGATCAGGCTTCAGTCATCTGATGATTGTGGTATGTTAAGTGACGTCTAGCCAGGCTGCTGAAATGAGGGAATAATTGTGTAGGTGATTGATGGTAAAATGAGAATTATGTGAAAGAGAAAAAAACCCATTGGCTAGATCTGCAGGTGTATGATCTATTACAACCAGAGGACAGTTTAGACCTTTTTTTTGGAGACGTGAATGAAATAATGTATACCTTTTTTTTTTTTTTTTTTTATAACTCCTTTTAAAAAGATTGTACAGCTAGTTGGGAGGATCGGTAACCTATTGCAACAAACTTTGCAATATTTTGTTTGCAATACGTTACCGAAGATGGAAGTTCCAGTGATGGAGGAGAGTGCTGATGGGTATCGCCTGTAAGGTAAGTTCTCCACCCACAGAGCTGCCTCATCCATTCAAAGATCCTTGTACTTCTCAATGGAATCCAAGTGAGGTGATGTCAACGCATTTGTAGTTCATTCTACAGGAGGAACAATCTGCAGGAATGTTAGGATTGTACCCACGATCCACTGAGTGCTGTTACAATGCTATATTGGCTCCATTGCAAAAATAAAAAAATAAATGCACATTTTTCTCTTTTTAGAATGTGTAAAATTATTATTTATTATTCAACTTTGCCTTTTTAAAGTGACACTAAACTCAGGAGTTAAAGGAGAACTATGAGGTGAGTGATTTTCACTTATCCTCATAGTTCTAGCCGACCTGTAACAATGAGACTGTCACAGGTCGGCTCAGTAGATCGGGAATAAAAAAAAAAAACAATGTGGTTATATAGCAACTGTTGTAATAGGTTTTAATTTTGAACATATTAAAATTTTTCTCTGGTCGGGGTGGGCTAGGGTTCGCCTTCGCTCCCCTCCTCTCATACTCCTACAGGGTTTACATATGCCGCCCACGGTGCCCAGGTAAGCTCAAACTGTTCCGTTTTGTCTTGGAGTATACTCGCCAATTTTTCATGAGTCATAATCCAAGACAGCTTAATCCTAACCTGGCTCAGCGGTACCCTGGGTGTCTTCCATGTTTTAGCGATCGTAACTTTAGCTGCCAGGAATATGAAGTTTATCAATCTTCTAGAGTGTTTAGGAGTTTCAGGGATAGTGTCATTAAGCAAGGCCAGCCTAGGGTCTCTTGGGACCCTTATGCCCACGACCCGGAAGATTAAGTTAAAAACCCCTCCCCAAAAGTTTCGAATACGCGGACATGTCCACCATACATGGTACATGGTGCCCTCGAGCGCACATCCCCGAAAACATAAGGGCGATGTTCCCGGGTACATAAGTGCAAGTCTAGAGGGCACCAGGTGCCACCTGGAGAATACTTTAAAGTTGGCTTCCGAGAGTGAAACATTAAGTAAGCCTCGGGTTGTCACCCTTGATCGACGTTTCCAATCCTCAATATCTCAATAAATCTCAAAATACATTCAACTACTTTGATCTACAGCCGAGTGATGCACAAATAAGATACATTTTTGTTAATATTTAAAGTACTTGAATG